TACACTGAGGACATGGGGACACAAAGGATGGGGAATGTGGGGGACACGGAGTGGTCACAGAGACGTGCAGGATGGGGGGACACACAGTGGTCACAGGGACACAAAGGGTGGGGGAATACAGGGAGGTCGTGGGGACACAAAGGATGGGGGAATTCAGGGAGATCGTGGGGACTCAGAGGATGGGGGTCACAGGGGATGTACGGAGGTCATGGAGACACAAAGGATGAGGGGACATGGGGGACAGGCAGTGGTCACAGGGACACAAAGTATGGGGATGTCACGGGGGTTACACTGAGGACATGGGGACACAAAGGATAGGGGATATGGGGGCTACGGAGTGGTCACGGAGACACGCAGGATGGGAGGATGGGGGGACACACGGTGGTCACAGGGACACAAAGGATGGGGGGATATGGGGACATGTGGAGGTCATAGGGATAAGGGGGATGGGGGATTTGGGAGACACACAAAGGTCACATAGGAAGGGGGATGTGTGAGACACGGAACACATGGACAGGAGGGATGTGGGGCACAAGGGTACACAGGTCACAGAGACACACAAAATGGGGAGCAGGGGGTGCAGGACACAAAGTACAGGGGTGGGAAGGATGGGGAGCACGGGGACATCACAAGTGAGACACAAAGGGTGGGGGACATATGAGACCCAAAACATGGGATGTGGGACTGAAAGGACACATGGACACAGATCACAAAGGATGGGGAATGCAGGGGCTCTGTGGGACACAAAGACAGGGACACAAAGGATGGGGGGACATGAGGGACAGAGGACTTGAAGGACACGGGACATGATCCTGGACACAGAGGATGGGGGATGCAGAGGATATGGAGACATGAAGGAGGGGTGACATCAAAGGTGGGGGACACAAAGGATGGGGATACAAAAGGCCTGGGTATACAAGTGATACAGGGCAGCAAGGACAAGCTTAGGAGGGGGAACATGGAGGACCCACTGCCCTTGGTAGTGGCCAAGGAAAGAGAAAAAACCTCTTTTCAGCTTAAAGTTGTTTTTAGAATTTAATAACAGAAAAACAATTCCTGTGGAGGGACCAGGAGCTCCCCTTTCCAAATCATGACTCCCACTTCTGAGGGGTGCTTGCTCCCCCTTCCAGTTCGGGGCTGAGCCCACAATTCCCTTGGTCACAGGAAATCCAGGAATGGTAGTTAAAATATAATGGTTAAAATATAATTTGGGGAGTGGGCACCCCGAAAAGGGACTTTTTCAGAAAGGTCCTTGTCTGCAGTGCTTGGGTGTCTTGCCCAGGGTCACAACTACTGCCTAATGGGTTTGCAGTGGGGTTTCTGAGGAAGATTTGACCCACTGTTTGTCTGCTTGGAACCACAGGCCACCTGGCACTGGCTCACCCCCTGCCTTGAGCAGGTCTCTTGAGCTGGGTGGTCTTCAGAGGGGCATCCTGGTGAGGTGCAGGGTGAGGATGGGGAGGTGCCCTCTCACCCCCCTCTTGTCTCCCCCTGCAGCTCCTGATCGCTCACCGGAGGAGAACCAGCTGCTGCTTCTACCCGCGTGCCTGGCCCAGCCTCAGGAGCTCGGACTGGTGGGAGCGGGTGGTCCTGAAGGAGTTTGGGCCCCAGGACTGGCTGGAGAAGTTCAGGATGTCCAAGGAGACCTTCTTCTACGTCTGCAACCAGCTGCGGCCCGGGCTGGCCCCGCACAGCGCCCACTTCCACCCCACCCTGCCCCTGGAGAAGAGGGTGGCCGTGGCCCTGTGGCACCTGGCCACCAACGTGGGGTACCAGACCCTGAGCCCGCTCTTCGGCGTGGGGCCCTCCACGGTGCAGAGCTGTGTGAGGGAGGTGAGCTACGCCGTGGTGCTGCTGCTGAAGCCGCTCTACCTGCGGCTGCCCAGCGAGAAGGAGCTGGAGAACATGGTGCGGATCTTCCGCACGCGCTGGGGCTTCCCCCACTGCATCGGGGCGCTGGACAGCCTGCACATCCCCATCCACCCGCCCCTGCGCCTCGCCAGCGACTACTGCAACGGCCAGGGCTGGCACTCCATCCTCACACAGGCCACCGTGGACGGGCTGGGGCAGTTCTGGGACGTGTCCACCGCCTTCCCGGGCAGCATGGAGAACAGCGCGGTGCTGGAGAGCTCCAGCCTGTGGGTGCTGGCCAAGGAGGGCCGGCTGTGCCCCAACCCTCCCAAGCACTTCATGGGGAAGGCGCAGAAGTACGTGCTGCTGGGTGATGCCACCTACCCCCTGCAGGACTGGATCCTCAAGCCCTACCAGGAGGACGAGAACCTCACCCAGCGCCAGCTGCAGTTCAACTACCGCCTGAGGCGGGCGCACAGCGTCATCGAGAACGCCTTCCTGCGCCTCAAGGCGCGCTGGCAGATCCTCCTCAAGTGCGATGACTGCAGCCTGGAGCTGCTGCCCACCCTGGTCCTGGCCTGCTGCATCCTGCACAACGTCTGCGAGGCCCACGACAACCCCTTCAACGAGGAGTGGCTGGGGGGGGGCGAGCCCACCGAGCTGCCCAAGCCCTGCCAGCCCGCGCCGGCTGCCATGGAGGACAACGGGGCCGAGCAAGTGCGGGAGCTGATGTGCCAGTACTTCGAGAGCTGCGGGGAGGGCTGATGGGGCCACCCAGCACATCCCTGCACATCCCTGCTCCAAGACTCTGGCAAACATTGGCCCAGCGGTGCCAGGACTGCAGCCTGACCAGCTGCACCATCCGGGCCTGGGGCAGGGAGGGGCGGCCATGTCATGCTCGTGCCGGGTTTGCTGTGCGGGTTTCAGGCAGCGGAATGTATTTTGTGCCCTTGCTCTCTCTGCCAGGATCTGAGTGGTGTGGTGTGTGCTGTGGGAGCGAAGTGGGGATCGTGGCTGAGCGGACGGGGCAATGGGGATCTCCCTCTCCTCTGTCCCGAGGGCCCTCTGTCAGGGCCGAAACCAGCAGGAGCCTTGAAATGAGGCAAAACTCCTGTGAAGGTTCGAAACCTGCTGCGTAAACACACCTGGGAGGGGAAGGGGAGGAAGRGGCACAGCAGTGACTTGCCAAGGGAATGAAACTGCACCCATGAACTCCTGCACGTGCTACCCTGGGGCAAGTGGGGTGGGCTGCCCAGCCTGGCACCCCCCAGCTCCCCTCAGGGTGGGGTTTGCCCAGCCTGGCA